AGCGTAATGGCTATGTCGCTGGACTCCCACGTAGTCGACCGCGGTTCGCGTCTCGGACCCGGCGGCTTAAATCTCATGCCGGGCATGTGTGCGTGCGTGCCCAAGATCCCGAGAGGAGAATGGAGGAGAAGGGATTGCGGCGTGACCATCCCCCCTGGGGGGTAATTTCTCGCTTTCTGTCTCTATGTCTCTCTCTGTCTGTCTGGCGAGCCTCTCCAAAAAAAAAAAAATTAAAAAAAATAAAATAAAAACCTGTCACTGCAGGGAACCAGCAGTTAGCGTAATGGCTATGTTGCTGGACTCCCACGTAGTCAACCACGGTTCGCATCCCGGACCTAGTGGCTTAAAACTCACGCCGGGTGCGTGTGCATGCATGCCCAAGATCCCAAGAGGAGAATGGAGGAGAAGGGATTGCGGTGTGGCCATCCCCTGGGGGGTGATTTCTCGCTTTCTGTCTCTCTGTCTCTCTCTGTCTGTCCGGCGAGCGCACGCGCCCTATAGCAAAAATCTCTCCCCCCCCCAAAAAAAAAACAAAAAAAAAACTGTGACTGTAGAGTTGCCAAAAACAGTTGGTACATATTCAGATGGAAATTTGTTGTGTAGGATATCAGGAGACATGTTTTACCAACAGCACCATCGCCCACAACAACACACTTAATTGTCTGCGTTGCTGAAATAGCTGTGTGTCCACTTTAAATATTTCCAGTTTGATGCTGACCTCGGCTCCTCCACCGGCCATTGGCAGCACTCTTTCTCATATTGTCTTCACTCTCCTTTATGAGCAAGTATTACCTTCACATTGGAAGTAAGAGTCCTTGGTCGCTTGCCCGCTTCTTGGCCTATAACTCTACAGTATAAAGCCCAAGACTCTTCTTCCTCTTTGAACCAAGCTATGATTCAAATTCCTCCCCCCACTCTGAGCTGTAGGCTCTCTAGGGGTCTTCATCTGGCCACAGCATCGCAGGCAGGCCAGCTGCTGCCCTGCTCAGTGTCTGAGTGAGCTCTTGGAGTAAATGCTGGGGAAAGATTTCTGTTACAAGGGAGAGTGGGGTGAGGTGACTATATAGTATTAACTATATAAGTGTTTTTTGAACCTGGGCATTGAGGCCTCTGGGCTCTGATTTCATTTACTTTGATGCAAGGGCTTTATAAAGTGTATCAGCTGCTCAGTTATCTCGGCCTCAGGCTTCTGAGCAGCTGGGACTAGAGGCACTGGTGTATGCCAGTGTATCCAGCTTTGTAGGGTGGGCCAGGCCTCCAAGTGGCCTCGACCTACACGTTCATTAAAAGTCAGGGACTAGAGACCAGCAGATGGTGTAGTGATTATGTCGCTGGACTCTCACGTAGTCAACTGCAGTTCAAGTCCTGGTTCAGGCAGCTTAAGGCTCACGCCAGGCGCATGTGCATGCATGCCCAAAATCCCAAGAGGAGAATGGATGAAAAGGGATTGTAGCATGGCCATCTCCTCTGGTGGTGGTAGTGTGTGGGGGATGATTTCTCACTTTCTGTTTTTCTGTTTCTCTTTCTCTGTCTCTGTCTCTCCAGCAAGTACGTGCACCTTATAGCAAACATCTCTCAAAAAAAAAAAAAAGTTCAGGGACTGTAGAGAAAATTGCCATTTTAGAAATAAATTGAAATGAAAAAATATTAAAAGGCAGATCATTGCTAAAGGTTAGTCATATGGTTTTTCATTCACTATGACTCCAACAATCCCCTAAATAGGCATATCGATATAACTACATAGATAGATATAGAGATATAGATACAGATATAGATAGATTCGATGTGCCTGGATCTATGAGGAAGGTCTTCGAAAAATTCACTGAAAACATGTATTATGGAAAAACTACTCAGGGCTTTCCTTTCTTTTTGCATCAAGGTAATATTGGACTTTGATTCCACTTTCCCATGAACTTTTTGGAGTCCTTTTGTCAAACTCTAAAAATTGAGACCCCGATCCAGCCATGATCGGAGAGCCCGTCTATACTGGCCTGGACGTTTAGAGTTGGTGGGGAGAGAAGCGTGTGGTGCGCATTGGCTCCTGTCACTGTGTGAGAGCTCAGGGCTGAAGCTGCCCTGCACTCTGGCTGTTAGACAAAGAGGGGCTGAAGGAGTCAGGGAGAACCTCTGCCTTCCTGGTTGGGCTGTGCTTCCTTCTCCGACTTTGACACAGGGGGCCTGCCACCTGTTCCCTTCCTGTCTTGCCAGAGGCTGTGCGCATCTCTTCTCCTGGAAGCAATGCACAATATGTAGATTATCAGCTGCCTTTTGTGTTTTCCCTTTTCACCCCCCTGCAGATCCTTGGCTTCTCTGCACTTGCAAACAAGTTCAGCATGGCCACAGAAAACAGTGAGACGCTCATTGAGATGATTCCGTACAGGTTGGTAATTCCACTTTCCAAGACTGCTTTGCCCTTTTTTTTCTTTTTTAAATGGTGTATGTGTAGTGTTTTAGGCAGAGTCTTATGTGTGAAAGTAGAAAGAACGTTAATCTTGTAAACACTGAGCCACGAGAGAGGCTAGGAAAAGAGGCTCCTCTTGTCGTACCTTTGAGAACTGGTCAAACAGGTGAGGAAGCTGAGAAGGCCTCTGATACACCATGATTCACCAAATCAGTGTCCTCCAGCAACAGCATTTTCTCACTCTGGGTAGAAAGTTATCTTCCAACAGCCTGGCATAGGGACTTCTTAAGGACTCCCAGTTAATCTACCTTAGTAATTCCTATCACAGACTATGGGGCCTCATGCTTGCTTCTGTTAAGAAATTATAGTTGTTGGGTTTTTTTTTTTTTTTTTTTTTTTGTTTTTTTTTTTTTTTTTTGAGG